TTAAGCATGCACTGGTGTGTGTCCACGCTTATGCGCTATTTTGACTCTTGACATTTGAAGCGCCGGCCACAGAATTAAGATCTAGCCTAGCTATAAGGAGAGTCACTCTACCAGTAACTTTTACTCATCGCATCGGATTATTACGTAAAACGTCAAGAGTCAATCTGTATCAGTATAGGCGGTATAACCGGTATAACCGCCCTTAGGCGTAACACACCAGCTACGCAAGCACGCGGCGCGGCGGCAGCTAGCTATATCACACCAAACGACTTGTTACACTCAATCTTTGCACATTTCAATGTAGGAGCTATTTAAGGCTTTCTAGTAATGATTCCCCAACTTTGCTTGGTGGCAACGAGTTCCACTCTACGATAGTTCTTGGGAAACACGAGTTTTTTAACACCTCAATTCTTGGTTGATAACTCTGATATTTGAAGCCATGACTGTTTCTTATTCTCTTCTGCTACATGCGAGGAAAGACCCTGGGCAACTTATAGGTATCTACGAGCCATTTGTACAAGATCATCATCAACAATTATCATCTTCATCATTAGCTAATTCTCTAGATGAGATCTACAAGCTTTAGAATGGCAATGTGTTAAGATGTATTACAACAATTTACAATAGTTATAAGAAGTGTCTACCCCTACTTCTAGACAATCATCATCATCATCATATTCTTCATTATCATCTAACTAGTTGGGTGAGGTCTACAGTAAGTTATGCCAAAACTCACGTCCTCACTGTCTGTACAGTAACCCAAAGCTCCCAAGAACCTTGTTTTGTAGTGAACATGAAGTAAATAAAAAAAAGGCAATATAATGTCGTACAGCAATTTACCACAAATACTGTACATTGCTGATTTATACATTGTTGATTCTAAAACCCAGATAAAGCGTTGAAACACGTTGATTGATGTAAACTGCAGAAACAGTTGGAGTGTCATCGATCAAGTTGTGTTTTCAGGATTTGTGTAGACAATCAGGCATGAAATACAGGGATCGGTACCAAACTACTGGTAATGAGTGAAACGTTCTAGCAGGATTATCATTGACATTGATGCAACAGTGATAACTAGAGAGCAATCGCAGCCGGAATGGTTAAAAGAAGAAGAGCTACGGTTCAATTTCATTCTAAATGGCAGACAATGATGATATCAGATCCACAGCAACATAGAGTTCTATCTAGGGTCACATCCTCAAGTACACCTTTCGCGTATAAAATGACATTTTCTGAACATCACAAAATCCGATAACTCTGGCAAAGTCGCAGTAATCACGTGCAGGGAAGCGCGACAGCTGAAAGGTTAGGACTCAGAGATGAGATAGTTTGAGATGAATGCATGATTGATGCGGAAAACGTGCATCGTTTGAAGCGATGCCAAGTTCCAGACAGTGATCGACATGAATTTTGATGTTTTGGAGCGTGTTTCTCTTTCCTGTACATTGCAGAGAGGTTAACGTTAGGACCTTTTGCAGACGACAGAACACAAAAACATCCGTAACGATTGAGCGATGCCAAGTTTCAAACAATGATCGACATGAATTTTGATGTTTTCGAGCATGTTTCTCTTTTCTTGTACATTGCAGACAGGTTAACGTTAAGACATTTTGCAGACGACAGAACAAGAAAACATCCGTGACGATTGAAGCGATGCCAAGTTCCAAACAATGATCGACATGAATTTTGATGTTTTCAAGCATGTTTCTCTTTTCTTGTACATTGCAGAGACAGGTTAGACTTTTTGTATAAGACAGAAGTGTCTGAAAAACATCCGTCACGATTGAAGCGATGCCAAGTTCCAAACAATAATCGACATGAATTTTGATGTTTTCAAGCATGTTTCTCTTTTCTTGCACATTGCAGAAACAGGTTAGACTTTTTGTATCGGACAGAAGTGTCTGAAAAACATCCGTGACGATTGAAGCGATGCCAAGTTCCAACGAATAATCGACATGGATTTTGATGTTTTCAAGCATGTTTCTCTTTTCCTATACATTGCAGAGACAGGTTAATTTAACGTTAAGACTTTTTGCAGACGACAGAACACAAAAACATCTGTGACGATTGAAGCGATGCCAAGTTCCAAAGAATGATCGACATAAAGTTTGATGTTTTCGAGCATGTTCCCTTTTTCTGTACATTGCAGAGACAGGTTAGACTTTTTGTATAGGACAGAAGTGTCTGAAAAACATCTGTGTCGATTGAAGCGATGCCAAGTTTCAAACAATGATCGACATGAAGTTTGATGTTTTCGAGCATGTTTCTCTTTTCTTGTACATTGTAGACAGGTTAACGTTAAGACTTTTTGCAGACGACAGAACACAAAAACATCCGTAACGATTGAGCGATGCCAAGTTCCAAAGAATAATCGACATGGATTTTGATGTTTTAGAGCATGTTCTTCTTCTGTACATTGTAGACAGGTTAACGTTAAGACATTTTGCAGACGACAGAACACAAAAACATTCGTAACGATTGAAGCTATGCCAAGTTCCAACGAATGATCGACATGAATTTTGATGTTTTGGACCATATTCTCCTTTTCTTGCACATTGCAGAGACAGGTTAGACTTTTTGTATAGGACAGAAGTGTCTGAAAAACATCCGTGATGTGCTAAGACACGGCAGCTCACGTGAAGATGAAAGCGTTTGCAGGATATGTTATCGACAGAGTTAAAACTTTGCTGACATAATGAAAGCTCGGCAATTACTTCAGTCTTAACTACCGGAGCTTTCCCCGGCAATCCTGCCAACAGTCTGCGGCACAGGATCGATTCTGAAGCTCTCCTGCGGCTTTGAGGATGAAACTCAGACCCAATTATGCCTGCTCCTAATTGTCCAATTACTGCACTTTTGTCACCCAAATGCATCAATCAGCGGCCCGACTTTGTTGTAAATGTGTGTAAAATTGACAGGCACTTTAAGCATCATGGATAGGGCGGAGGGAGGTAAAAGGCGGCGGCGAATTACTGATATTTTGTTCGGTAAGACGAAGAAGACTTTGGAGAACACGGCGGTAAAATAGTGCAGGAAATTGGGTTCAAGTCGATCGAACTCAGACGCAGCTTTGCTCGCCCAGCTTTGGACGTAATTTAATGGCATTTGGACAACTGATTGCTCAGTGTCAAGGAAGAAAATGGCAAAACCGATCGATGCGACCGCAGACTGGATCTACGGAAATCCAGTCTGTGAGGGTAAGACCGACGAAGCGGCGAATACATACAGAACAAAATGGGCTGCAGTAATACGACAGAAGCTTCTTCAATATAGTAACTGCATGTAAAAAATCAGATATCTTTAATAAGCTCCTTTCATGTCCTACTCAGATATCAGTGTACGAAATTCAGTGTGGAAAATTCATATCTGAATCACTACAAAAGCGATACCATATTGCAAATAACTGACATATCTCCTAGATACAATAGATTAGCTTTAGTATCATTATGGACTAGCGAGAATTATATCTTAGTATTAGTTCGTATATAGCCCTTGTTATTTCTTCTTTGCCATACATTGTACCAGTTACAGTTGATGAGCAATAAAGTTGATTTTTGATTTTGTAATATCGCGATGCTGTTCGATGATTTCTTCACCAAGGACAGGCTCTCGTTCTTTATTCAAACAGACCCTAGCTGAAGCGTCTTTGGCACACTTGATGAATTATTTTGTAAGCCGGGTGAACCGTATAACCTTGTAGATCCTCCCCTCAGGCAAGGTAATAACTGTTGGTCACGCTTTCCTAGGGAGAAGTGAACGGTGACATTAGAGTCCAGCCAGTGGAGAGATCTCACCCAACGGCTATTCTCAGAAGCCGCAGTACTGGCGAAAGATGTACAGTGGGATTTATGCAGCACTTTTCTGTTGTTGATTTTTATGATTGGTTGGTTGGTTGGTTGGTTGGTTGGTTGGTTGGTTGGTTGGTTGGTTGGTTGGTTGGTTGGTTGGTTGGTTGGTTGGTTGGTTAGTTAGTTGGTTGGTCAGTTGGTTAGTTAATTGGTTGGTTGGTTATTTGGTTGGTTATTTGGTTGGTTGGTTGGTTGGTTATTTGGTTATTTGGTTGGTTAGTTTATTACTTGGTTGGTTAGTTGGTTGCTTGGTTGGTCGGTCGGTCGGTTGTCGAATGACCCTTCTTCTTAATGATATCAAGTTTTTGTTAGAACCATTCTTTATTCATGAAAATTCCAATCGGCATGCAAGCCGCTTTTCATTGAGGTGTTGTAGAAACATGATGTATAGAAGTTTACAAAAACATACAAAAATGTGAACACAAATGTAAAGGAGCGGATGAAATATAACTGCTACAAAATGCAATAAAATTCATTTTTAGAGTTACAATATACGCTTCCCTGTGCAATACATCTGTATACTATCGATGATTTCTCCTGAAGGCATAACAGCTAAGTTACAAAGTGAAGAGCACTTAATACCTGTTGTGTTACCGTAAAAACTCCCACTCCTCATAAAACCTACGAGACATAAGTCACCACATATCACCACTAGCTATGAAGACAGACAGAAGAAAAGGCTACCTTTTGCTTTGTAAATCTCACTCCAGAATATTATGTAGATAAAGCATTAAAGAATTTGTTTAGAAACTTATAGTCTATTCAGCGGCGCCAACGACGTTCAGTGAATTAGTGTCCACATTACGTTTTCAAATGTTTTTACATACAACATTATATCATTTGTATTCGTGACATCTGTATGGTTAATTATCATGAAAAGCAAGATATCATCAACAACTGGTGTAAGGTGTGCAACGTGACTAAGGCATAGTCTTTTCACACTTTGATAACTTTTGTCAAATACAGAATGTGACAAAGTCATAGTCTCCACCAGACATAAATCGTAGAAATCGGCCTAAAAATGGCATTAATTGGCGAGAGAAGGTAGCCGGCTATCGACGATCAAATGGGCCTCAAAGAGGATAGCGACATCTCATCACAGACTTCCTGCAGGCCAATTTGATCGTTGATGGCCGGCTACCTTCTCTCGCCAATTAATACCCTTTTTAGGCCGATTTCTACGATACATTCAGCCTGCAAAAGAAGTCTGGTGGAGACTAACAAAGTCATCACACTGCTGTGAACACGTTATTGTCATGCCCCTCGCGTACATCGCCGTTCGCGATCTGTTCTTTAGAGGACTTAGAAGCCCTCTCCTCCTCCAGACTGCGCGGATCGTACAGCGGGAACTTGGTGCCGTTGGCCAGCCCGGGGACGCCATTGCTGCGGCTCAAGTCGTACTGGAGGCTCCTGGGATCGTACAGGGGGTAGGGGCTGTCGGTCTTGTACGTCACTTCCTCTTCCGGTTGCGGAGCTGATTTTGAGGGACCCCACGAAGCGGTGGGGCGACATGATGCTCGAATCCTCTGCAGAAAAAAATATCAAAAGTGTTACAGAGACATACCGAGCAACCGATCGATGACTTTTTTTTCTATTCCAACATTTATCCCAATACACGGCAACTTATTTTTATGCCGCCACCAACGCCGACAAACGCACGAACAACGGACATACTCAGTTTTGCTTGAGTTAAGTGGGGAAATTCGTGTAAAGTACCTTTCCCAAGGACACAAGATCGTTGACAAAGTAGGATTCGAACCCGGGACCTCTTCGTACCTGAATGCGCTACAAATTACGCCACACGACCACACTTTTGAACATCTATAAATCAACAAACAGAATAAAGCCGCACTGACCTAGCCTCCATAGCATGCCAAAATCTGGGGGTTTTGGGGGGTCTTCATGGTCTTTGGGAGCTTTTATGTGCTATTTTCTGATTGCAGATAGACAACATAGCCGGCCTGGTTGAATTAACCCCGTTTTTTTTAGAACTGGGCTAATCAGAAAACAGCCGAAGGTCGCCAAACCCTCAGTTCTATAAGCCTGCTATATACGGAGGCTAGCACTGAGCCGAATTTTGTATCTCTACAGTAACTGTACCTCGAAGAAGCTCCCCTCCTGATTGTACAAGGCGAGGATTGCGAACAGCGGAATAGCGATGATGGAAGAGAAGGCCATGAGCAGACCTAAGGTCACGCCCCATCCTGGATACGTGACGCCATTATACTCCACAGGCGTGTAGGTCACCAGGCTGAAGATAAAGATAAACTGAAAAACAAGATACGAAAATAGATAAGTAAAACAACAGTGGATGGTATTGATCCTGCGTGTGTTTAGGAGATACAAAACTGTCAGATCGAACAACAAAACATTCTAGCAAAAATCTTTGTCTAAATTGACTGAATATAAAGATAAACTGAAAAATAAGATGAGAAAATAGATAAGTAAAACAACATTGAATGGTATTGATCCTGGGTGTTGTTAGGAGATACGTTTACTGTAAAAAAAACTGTCAGATCGAACAACAAAACATTACGATCGATGGGGTATCGACAACATGCACGCGTACCATCGACATTACAAGTAATGAAAGTAACCCAACCTATGTAATTACCATTGATAATAATAATAAAATAGATAACAAAAACAACGGAGGGCATCTTTGTGGATTGTATTGATGCTGAGTGTTTAGGAGATACATTTACTGTAAAAAAAACTGTCAGATCGAACAACAAAACATTACGATAGGGTATATCGACAACATGCACGCGTACCAACTGCATTACTTTAAAGTAATAAAAGTAACCCAACGTATGTAATTACCATTGCAAGTTATTCTAGTAGAAATCTTTGTCTAAATTGACTGAAGATAAAGATAAACTCAAAAACAAGATGAGAAAATAGATAACAAAAACAACGGAGGGCATCTTTGTGGATGGTATTAATGCTGGGTATGTGGGGGATACATTTACTGCGAATAACAACAAAACTGGTGCTACGATAATGTTCAGGGCATCGACAACATGCACGTGTACCCAGGACATTACAAGTAATGAATCCAATGTAGTCACCAAGTTATATTTTAGCAATCGCAACTTTGTCTAAATTTCTCGCTCCAGGCTTTACAATGTAGGCGGTCGATGAACCCTACTTTGATATGTAAATTTTACGCGTACCAACATTACTTTAAAGTAACGAAAGTAAGCCAACGTAATTACCAAGTTACTCTAGCAAAAAACTTTGCCTAAATTTCATTCGCTCCAGGCTGTACCTTGTAGGCGGTTGATGAACCCTACTTTGATATGTAAATCTCAGTCCCTTGTTAGGCCACACCGCCTTAATTTCATGGATGACATCCACGCGCGCATTGATTTTCGCCTGTTCTCAAAAAAAAAAAAAAGATCACGTCCACCGAGGATATGGCCTGGCTCTAGGCCTGGGTAGTCCATTGTAGTTAGCGACAATACGGAGCCGGGCACCCAGGCTACCGAAGCTCCACGGCTCAAGAACTCAGAACAGTGCCGATTCATAAATTCCACAAAAAACAGCATGTGCTGGCTTGTCGTATACGTCGTACTGCCGCTAATTCAAACTACCAGCTTTGTATTCCTGTGGTTTAGTACCACTTTTATTTTTGGCCGGATTTTTTTTATTCGCCCGCGCGCACTAGTTTGGGGGTCTTCAGAGGATGTCATCCATAAAAGTAAGTCGGTGTGGCCTTAAGGTCTCCAAGGTTGAACTCACCAACATGAGCGCCGGTGACACGAACATCCAACAGATCTTGAAGTACAGGCTGGGTTCATGACCAATCATGTCTTTGATGTTAGAACTGAAGCGCTTGATTCCTGGAAGGAAACAAAACGTCAGCGTTGGCAAAAAGCCGGCGGATCAGAGGTCACGGCCTGCAGCTGACCGGCAATGTGCTTTTCCAGGAACTATTTCAGTTCAGTTCAACATGACCATATGTTTGCCTAATGCAGGGAGTGAAAGCAACACATATTTTTGGAACTTTTCCTGTACGCCGATATACTAATGACGATTTAATAGCATCAGACAGGACATAGTGATGTCGTGTTTGCATAGTTAGACCTTCCTGCTGGCGAAGTACCAAAAATAAACTAAGGCACTTAAGATCAAAGGCAGTGCCTGGATCCCTTAAGGTATGAACTCTGTGAGAAGTGTTCCGTCATGTAGATCCAGTATCTTATAACATCTGGTAACGTCTTTGAACTGCCGATGGGAAGGGCATACAAGAATAATGGCTTGATGATTACTTTTTTAGCACCAGAGAGCTTCCAAGAAGGTATATGAACGTCATTACATCAAATACAGACGTCAACGTCTGTATGTGTGTGTGTGTGTGTGTGTGTGTGTGTGTGTGTGTGTGTGTGTGTGTGTGTGTGTGTGGTTTAGCACGATAACTCAACAAACTTTTGGATGGATTGTCATGAAACATGGTAGGTGGATAGGTCTTGTTAATACCTAGACATGACTAGATGTTGGGCCCCCTGGTGGCTTTCCTAGGTACTGCAGCAGAACTTCCGGTTTTGATATCTCATGAGTGTATATAACGTTATGTTCTATGAGTGTATTATCTATATAGGAACATTACCATAGATCCAGGATATCCCAATGGCCATGAAGAAAGCAGTCACAATGAGACAGAACCCTGCAGCGTACCAGTCCATCAGAGTCACCCAGTAGACGCCAGCCTGCAACCAGAACACTTCCAGGTTATATCATTTATTTATTCATTTATTTATTTATTGAAAAATGCAACAAGACATTACACTGACTCTCAAGGCAGAAAAGCTGATATTAGAGAGTCAACATATAAGGCTTTATAATGATAAGGACAAAACACAAAGGGCACATAAATACAGTGTGAAAATACAAGAACAATCACAAAGACTTAACCTATATCATTCTAAGTAATTAAGTACATATATATATATACATAGTAGAAATAACGCATTTTGAGGTCAGAGGTCCAGAAAAAAATTGGACTACCCCATAAGAGAAAATTGGTACTAAATAACAAGGCTAGGAGGAACAGCTGGAAGTGCCTAGAAACGGTTTGTTAAAGTGATGTTGGTAAAATAATAATGTTTGCCAATGTGGGTCATAGGACGGCCTCATAATTGACCAACTGTTGTGCGAGTAGTGTGAATGGGACTAAATGCAGAACGAACACGGTGTAATCATAAGGTCCACGAGTTTATGGAGGGACCGTCAGTGATTTTTTTCATCACTCTCGTGTAAAATCAATGACCCAATCTATCATTTTCTGTATCGCTTAACCTCAGAGGTGCATCAGGCATGTAGCTGAATGATGATAACGTGCTCAGCGTGCTCTCATTCAGGGAGGAAGTAGTTTAGTGGAAACAAATGGTGTTATGATATCGGAGTCAACCGATGAAGCACTATTTCATCATTAGCACGAGTGCATTGTGATCACGGTTTAAGTCATATGAATTGCAGTAATCAGCAGCGTTACAGATTAAGGGCATGGCTCTCTATCTTCTCACGGAAATAGACTGGATTCGTCATTCTTTACTGGAATTCTACAAGGGTAAGGCCGTTCAGAGAGTATTGAGAATCCAACAACGATCTTTCAGTGTTCAGAAATGTCGATGATCATTCATTGATCTTCCAATAATTTTCAAGGTCTGCAAATAGTCATTAAATTATTTTAATCCTTTAAAGACTGCTTAAAAGTAATCTTGCTATTATTTCAAAGGGTCAAAGATCTCTCAATGATTTCAATGGCGTTTTAATTATCTCGTTGTCATATTTCAATAATCTCGAAGGTCTCTCTATGATCTTTTAATAATATCAACGACCTTTTTAAGTACCTCCAAGGTTTTTCAATAGTTTCTCAATGCTCTAAAATACCTAGGATTTTAAGTCGCTCATAGATTGACCAACAGTCTCCGTTCTAAAGTTTAAGTGGTAGAACTCCCCAATTCCTACATTTACTAACCTGTGTGCATTTCAAGTATCTTTAAGTTTCTCCAATGGTTTCTAAATTCTCTCAAATACCTATCATTTTTGGTCGCTCATAGAGTGCCCAACTGTCTCTGTGCTATGGTTTGATTTTTAGAACTCCCCCAATCGCTACCGTGTCGTAGCCTGCGTGCATTTTAAGTATCTTCAAGGTTCTGCAATGGTTTCTAAATTCTCTCAAAGACCTATCATTTTGGTCGCTCATAGAGTGCCCAAACAGTTCTTTGTTCTCTGTTCTATACTTTAAGTAGTAGAACCCCCCAATGCATTCCTACATGTACTGACCTGTAAGTATATTCAAGGTTTATCAAAAATGGTAATCATCTCAAAGACCTATCATTTTAGGTCGGTCATAGAGTGCCCAACAGTCTCCGTTCTAAAGTGTTAGAACTCCCCTCAATTCCTACATGTACTGACCTGTGTGCATTTCAAGTATCTTTAAGTTTCTCAAATGGTTTCTAAATATTCTCTCAAAGACCTATCATTTTGGTCGCTCAAACAGTTCTATGTTCTCTGTTCTATACTTCAAGTGGTGTCGTTCGTCCGTCAGGTTGACGAGGACCGCTTTGTCATCCCTCTGTAGTAGGGTGTGTCCTCAGGTAGAACTCCCCCAATTCCTACATGTACTGACCTGTGTGCATTGAGTGAGACCGAGGAAAAACATGACGATACAGAACGCCAGCAGCAGCCAGGTCTTCCGGCGGGCTAACACCGTCGGGAACTCATCCACCAGAGCCGTGATGATAGTCTCCAGGGTCACGAACTGATTGGAACATGCATCAACCACAGCGTTAGTGACTGTCAATACTCGGTGTTGCCAGAGCAATCATACTAGATTAATGATTATGTAGAAGATACATCATCGAATTATTTAGCCTCATTGTCTCCTAGTCGTAATACATTACAGTGTTAGGTGAGTCACTGTATCTAGTGTAGCGGAGCTGTAATTGCTTTGTGTGGGTGTAATGATTGACATCGTTTCAGAATCGTTGAAGAGAATGAGGGGAAGAAATCTTTTACGCTGACATTCTAACTGGCAACTCAACAGTAGACACTCGCCAATGCCTCCTATCGTTTTATCATCGCACTACAGTACAGCCTTCCTCACATATGTGATCAAAAGTACATTTACTTATTTCTATTGTAATAGTTTCTTTTATAGTTTTGTTAATTGCGAAACCCGCAACGACTCGTGACAGGTTTAGCAATCAGTAGAAATCGGATTGTAGTGGCGTATATAATGTAGTCATATTTTCATTAAGTAATTAGTGTGTAGTTTTCATTTTGTAATGTTATAAATATTGTACGTATTAAGTAATGACAGTGGAATTTTACATTTGTTATCATGTTGTTAATTATTTTAATGTGCAGGTTTTACTGTAATGTACAGTAAGGAACTGTTTTTTTACTAATGGATGTATACATAAACATAAACATAAACATAAACATAAACATAAACATAAACATAAACATAAACATAAACATAAACATAAACATAAACATAAACATAAACATAAACATAAACATAAACATAAACATAAACATAAAAACGTGCCGTACCATACTATCCAGTCCCAGGGTGAAGAGCATGAAGAACAGGCAGATGGCCCAGAACGGTGAGGCGGGCAGCAGCGTCAGGGCTTCCGGGTAGGCAATAAACACCAGTCCGGGACCTACAGACGGTACATAACGGACAGCCATGGTTGTTGCTACAATGATCAATCATTCGATTGCGTAGATGTCTTTTTCCAGACCATTATAGCCTGGAAGCCAAACCCACAGCACATGCACTGAGCCCAAAGTCATCCAGTGTGCACACAGGGTAACTTTGAGCCTAGTGTGCTATGGGTCTGGCTTTCATGCTAGACCATTAGAAAACAGATGTGCTATCTTGTTGCAACAATTTTTGATTTAGTTACCATAGCTCATGAAAGCCATTTGACTATCTAATCTCCAAGCAGATCCTAGGGTGGCAAAAAGACAGTAACAAATTGGCCAGGCAGTATCCATTGGCCAGAGAGAGTCCTATATTGGGTTGGTGGGGGTAGCGACAAAAACACGGGCCATATATAAAAAGGTAATGATCTTCCCCCATCCCATCAACCTCTGCTTGGAGAGTATTGACTATCGACATCTGACCTGTGGCCACCACGTCTTTGACCTCCACGCCCAGCTCGTGCGCCATGAAGCCGAGAAACGAGAACACGGCGAACCCCGCAAACACGCTGGTGCCGCAGTTGATCAGGGGGATGGCGATGGCGTCCCTGCAACGAACGAACGAAACGTTAAACCATGACTTCAGCCATCAAAACCGGCTCAGGGGGGCAAAAACATTCACAGTTTGTCAGTTTCACGGCGGCCGACATCTTTTACAAGATGCCTTTGACCCAGTGTTGACGTCACACTTCAAAGAAGCCACGTGACAAGCCTCACTGGGTCAGTCTACTGAGGAAGATCAGAGTGACTGGTCGAAAGCTCTAGGTGAGAGAATTTCTTTCTGTTCGATCTTAACTTTTAACTTCAAAAAGATTTTCAGTTTGTTGTGATTGGTTGGCCTACCTCTGACAGTTGTTGTCGAACTTGTTGTAGCTGGACATTGTCAAGACGCCGCCGAAGGCAATGCCGATGGAGTAAAAGATCTGCGACGCCGCATCGTACCAGACCTGGAGGAACAATTCTCGATGAATGAAGATACTCTTTATACACAGCTAAGTCTTTTATTCGGCCGACGTTTAGGTGACCGTCTGTCACCTTCCTGAGGACAAATTTGACTGGTTCACATTGCACTGCAGCACTGCAGTAGATGCGTTCCCAAACGCAAAACATTTTGTTTTGTAAAAAGAGTGACTTACCCACCTGATGAAACTATTCGCGGAAGGGAAAATTGTCGTTGTCAATAAACCAAATTATACCAAGATTTCTCCGCAATTTTGCAGATGACGAAATTTGGAAGTTTGGGTACCTGAGATTGCCGTAACTTGTTCAAGTCTGGCGTTATGTAGAAGAGGACTCCGTCCCTCGCCCCTGGTAGAGTCGCACCTCGTATCAGTAGGATAACCAGGATGATGTAGGGAAATGTAGCTGTGATGTAAACAACCTGGAACAAGAAATCGAAGATATTTTACCTCTATGAAATATTATGATTTTTTAAATGAATTTTTTTGTTTTATCATTGTGACTTTCTCGTTGATTTTGTCTGCGTATTTCGCCATGGCTTCCATAAGGCAACGGACATATACGAAAGAGGACAGGAAATACAACTATTGTTTCGCCTTGGTGTGTATAGTAGAGGGGATTCATTCCTCAAGCTAACCTGCATCTCGCTCACACAGTGGTCCCTCTGTAAGACATCTGGAGCCACGTAGTTCCCGTTTAGAACTTTTATTCAGCCTGTCACACGACAGGTTTCGCCTGTGTGGCTTCTTCAAGTGTACAGAGGCTAAATCACACAAGTTCACAAAGTTCTGACAGGCTGAATAACAGTTCTAAACGGGAACTATGCGGCTCCAGATATCTTACTGAGGGACGACTGCGTGTGCGAGATGTCGGTTAGCTTGAGGAATGAATCCAATCTACTATGAGGGGATTATTTCGCCTTGTTGTAATCTGACTACAGTACCTTTCCCGTGGACTTGACTCCTTTGAAGAGACAGAGGAAGACTAAGATCCAGGCCAGCAGGAGACACAGAGTCAGCTCCCAGTTCATCTTCCCTGTCTCAGAGATGCTGCTTGAGATCTGCTGAACGCGCACGCTGTAATACATCAATTAAAACTACTGTTATTCAGAAGGAAAATGTTAGCCTCTACCAGACTTCGGGAGGCGGCAGGAAAGAGTAGAAATTGGTCAAATAGAGAGATAACAGGCCGATGGAGTTGGTCTGCTAGAGAGTACATTCTGATGCGGCGAAATGTACTTTCTAGTGGATCAACGCCCTCGGCATGTTATTTATCTATTTGACCGATTTCTACTCTTTTCAGCCGCCTCCCGAAGCCTGGTAGAGGCTAGGGAAATGTTATATCGAACAGGATTGATTTAGAGGCATTGCTCACATATCAATTGTCAAAGAAAGGATGCCTTCCTCATAAGAACGGAAAATGTTACTACGAATAGATTTGATTTAGAAGCTTTATTCACCTATTTATCCAGTGATTTGTCAAAGCCAGCTGCCGCCGCGCCGCGTGCCTGCGAAGCCGGTGTGTTACGCCGAAGGGTATTATGCCGGCTTTACAGATACAGATACAGAAAGAAGCCCCCAAACCTTGACATGTATGAGAAGACGACAAATGCAATCTTCTTCGCCATGTGTCAAGCATTATTGTATCACGTACGTACATTAGTAGCCGTTTCCATTTTACAGCATTGTACTTACTGCCAGTACTCCTCGCTGGGGCCGATCCGTGTGAAGTTTGTGCCGTTCGCCGTCCTGTTGGCGACTCCCCAGCTCTCCACACACCTGTCCGAGTTCCACCAGTGTCCGCAGTGGTGCCAGGGCAGCACGCTGGTGAAGGAGGCGAACAGGTAGTACAGGGCCCAGGCGATGATCATGTTGTAGTAGATGCAGGTCCACGCTGATATGATGCACATCGCCCAACCGATACCTTAAAGAGAGATAGAATCGCTTTCCATGTTTCAGCAGGCTGTACTTTCAATATCAACGCTACAGCCAGGTGCTGACGCCATGTTGGTGTCCCGTCTAATGGATCGCAGCTCAAGGATTTTGTGTGCTTTAAATGTTCTTGTGGTATTCTCTTGATTGAGATGTGCATTAAAACGTGTTTAGTCGACAGGGTCAGAATATCCTTAAGTGTCCAACAACGCTTGAGCTAGTGAAATGAAAATCAGAACACCGTGTACATTTGACGGTATGCCCAGTTTTCATGTGCGGCGTCGATACGCGTACGGTCAACACTACATGAACCTCACTCTACGCACTGAAAGAAGGCACCTAATGCAGGGATGATCAAGACAATACAATTATACCTTCCACTTTCCAGCAAAGTTGCTGTGCAGTTCTATCGATACAACATTTTCTCAGTACAAAGTAGGGCAGTCAATTCTATGGGATACTAAACTCTATTACTAATGTAAATATCCCCTACAGGTGGCTTCAAGTAGACGTTATGTTGTACATGCATATTTTTCCGTTTAGTAAAGAAAATACCAAAGTATAACATGCATGCATGAAATCCTCTATAGATTAAGTTTGTAAAAAGTTTTCATTTACATAGAATAATGTAATAGTTTTGTAGATTGTTAAGCCACCTTATATGTTGCCGTGATGTTTCAAGTTGTCATGTCTTGAACCCTTCTCTGTGTTGGATCAAACGTTTTACCTCTAAACATAGATACCTTTCAGTATGGGAATGCAGTTCCACACAGGCAGACTTCCCAGGCCGGCGTACTGCCCCAGGGTCAGCTCGATAAAGAACATCGGGATCCCGGCAAACACCAGCATGATCACGTAGGGAATCAGGAAGGCTCCTGCCAAATACAAAGACTAGTATTGTAGTAGCTGATCTCCAAGAAGATGTTGGGCCAGTTGGGGTAGAAAAGGTGACTATCGGAGAAACAAGCTTGCAGATTAAATCAAAAACTATTTTTACAAAGAGCTAACAAAGAGCTGACAACGAATAACAAAGAGCTGACAACGAATTAGAAAAAAAAAATGTTACAGTGGGTTTGATAAATAAAAATAATTCATGGGACGTTTGCTTAATTTGTATAAGTTTGCAATAAGAGCCCTAGAACCATGATGTCCCACCTGGACCATAGTACGGCTAATCTTAAAATGATCAGGGGACATTAAAGTATATTTCTATGGTACTGGCAAAAGTATGTACAGGATGGGCTACGGCACGAGTTTTTTTTCAGGTTTCTCCTCCTGGACTATGAGGCATTTTGACACTCACCACCGCCGTTCCTATAGCAGAGGTACGGAAACCGCCATACGTTTCCCAGTCCGACGCAGTAGCCAATCATAGACAAGAGAAACTCGACCTTGGCATCCCATTGGTCTCTGACAGGAGCGTCATCGTCGCCTGGTTTTTCCTCAGCTTTAATCTCCTGAATAGTGAAAAAAACAGTTTTTGGTAATTATCAATGATGATATGAAAAAGTTTATTGCAAATCCATGCCCGAAGGCTAATTGCAAGTTACAACATAAAATAACATTGAAGCAGAGTATAAGATAACTTCAAAATCTACATATTGAAAGGTAGTTGTCTAAAACTATAGCTATGTCTAAAAGTATGTCTGAAGGGTTTGACTTCTCTTTTGTTAACCATATAAAACAGGACAAGGTAGGGTACTTGGGATCCTGGTCACATAATCAAGCCTCGGGATAAACAGACGAAGGCTTGTTCTTCGCCGCATAAATGTACTGCCAAGGACGTATAATGTCCTTGGTACTTCTAAAGGAGTGGCGCCCGCAGTTATTATAAGCAATAGAAAAACCATGAGAAAAACCACTTCTAAAGGCAGATAGCCATTTTTCGCTGCCAACCTTTACATGCATGCACTTCTTCCCATCCACAACACACCACTCCAAAGTGTTGATCTACTCATTCATGTTAAGTTAACTTCTCTTTCTCTTCTTTTTTGGTTCCAGTTGAAAAGGGTGGGGTAATGTGAAGCAATCATCCTCAACTAAGATATTTAGAGTAGAGTAGCGGCCTCCTTTTTCAGCCAAGCAAACTGGGTCACCCCTACTCTTCTAGATAAGTCTGTTGATTTTACGCTTCAGGCACTAACGTCTGAAGCTCCGTGTATACATTGGACCGCCAGCTTCACGTTATCATCTGAAAGCCACACTATAAAAATCAAAAAGCCTTTTAATATCTTCTTTGAGGCAAAGTACGCGAGAAAAGAGCACAGAGGACCACATAGAAGTCATGTATATTTCAGTATTTCACTTTTTGTGTGAATACTTGTCTAAAACAATCTTCTTGCGCGAGTTTGATTTGGGTCATCCATGCTTGAATAGAATACCTCTCAGCAGGTGTTTGCTGTTCTCAGGCCGTACTTACAATGGAGAGAAGGACGCGCTGGTACAAATTGTTGCTGTTTAGTAGCTGTTGTCGTACATTGCACCATGTAAGAATGTCGAGCAATAAAGAAGTTAAGTCATCTATCATGTAACTGTCAAACGTGGGCGTCCTTTTCATTCCGATCGTGCCCTGTGAACGTGGTTTAGTTTGCAGACACATGTTCCCATGCTTTGCCTTGCCCTGCGGTCACACAGTAGCCCCTGAATGACCCCTCATCTATATGCGAGAACATGAACTAAAAGTCTTATGTAAGTCCTGTACAAATTGTGCAATCTAGACAATGTAAGTGCAGAGCAGGTGTTTTTCACTTGTGCCTGAGTCTCTTCTATACATACAAGAAATGACCAAATACAAAACGAGGTCCGAATCCAGGTGTTAAATCTTCCTAAGGCTAACTGTACATGTGGTCTACAATTATAGCCGGCATTCTATTCATGGCCTCATTCTTTCTTTAGAACAAACTGGTTATAAGATATATAGGTTCATTTCGACTTCGATCCACCTACAAGTAGTGACGGTTTGCAAAAGTCACGATTTATCGAGATTTGAACGTCCGTGTGTCATAGAAAAGGCACCGTAAAAAAATTTCAATCTGTTGTAGTTTGAAAGTGCATAGAAATAGTTTGCTCTTCGTTGTTTTCTTTACACTGTGTCGGCTTCTCGCTTCAAGCTGTAGTAACTACAGTCAAATCCGTGTCGTCAGCTTGAACGGAGCATTTTTGTGATCTAGATTTCTCTCTTCCTTAACCATGCGTCACACTTTTGACGGTCTTTGGTCTAACTTGTTCATCGACAGAAGGTCGCCGAATTTCAAAGTCGTCAGAGAATCAAGTGTACTTTTTGAAGGGGCCTCTGTGGCATGCAAACGTCGGCTGACCCTAGAAACAGTGACCGAGAAGACACCGGCCATATTACAGCAGACAGACTGTCCTTGCTGTTTTGACGCCTCCTTTATGGCTTATTTCTTTACTTATTTCTTTATTCCTTTCAGCCATGCACCTGTCCCATATGCAGACAAACAGCAAGAAGAAGAATACACAGCAACACAAGCGATGTACAGTACCTACATGTACAACCAAGGAGGTACCTTCAACCACCTTGCTACAACCTAACTTAAAAACAGCTAGCTTTCAAAAACATTGTCTACGTAGTACCTCCAGAAAGTGCTCTGATTATACCATATACATGCTGTATTGTCTCACTTATTAGCACACTACTGTCTGACCAACTACAATTGTGAAGTATCATACCTCAGGCTCCTTGTTAAATGATCCCTTTATGGGGCCTGCTCTCGCGTCGTCACCCACGAAACCCGGGTTCTCAGCCATGTTGTGTGCAGTGAGTGAGTAACAAAACAACGACGCTACTTACTTATAATGCATCGCCTCTCGTCATTGATTTGCATAACCGGTTCGGCAACTTAGCTTTTGCACACAACACTCTTTCAGCCCTTTTGAGGGCACGTTAATGATAGTAATATACAGGTGAGCCGTGCTTTCATTCGTAGCGATGGGAAATGACAGCGCTGAGACGGAATTCGACCGGTTTCGACTTTATTCAATGAATGAAGACCTTTATTGTACATTTGTGTTCTACAGAACTAAGTACAGGTCGCATGGGTACAGAACATGAACATAAACATATACATTACATACAAATGAACATATAAGAGCGTAAATAAATGTCTAATTTCTATTCTTTTCGGCCTCATCTCGCTTAGTAGTGATTGTATGGATATATGCGGCTGTGAGATTACTTAGAGTAGGTTTATCAAAAGTTAAAAGGAATACAAATTTCTCTTTACTAGTCAAATATCTGAAGTGGGGAAATATACTATTCAATCTTTCTCAATAATGACAGAGATCGGACCACTCCATTACTGTGCCTCTGTAGTGCAGGGCGCTCTGCTGGAGTTTAAGATATTGACCAATCAGCATGAAACATCTCATTTTGCCCTGGTGTAGGCTGGATTGCCCTGATCTGAAGGTCTAGTTCACTATGCACTGAGTACTATGCACTATTTTAGGTTGCCATGACCTCAGTTGACCTCAGGTGAGCTGTGATTTGAAAATAAAGCCAATTTGGACAGAAACAACTCGCACCATTTGATTATGAGGTATGCCATGTAGCAGGGATATACAGTAGAATAGTAGACACAGAAATGTACCGTCTTAAAGGATCTGGGAAGGGCATATTGACTCATTTGTGTCTTATCATATAGATCTTACTCTCATAGTTTATCTGTGTAAAGTTTGATGTTTTGGATCATTGCTTGTATCCGATAGGTTATCATTAATAAGTTCGTTTGATTCTGCTTCTATGTTGGGGTCATTGACTATCAGAACGTCATGGAATAAACCTGTTCAAGTATATTAAGGACTGGTCAACCTCTCACTCAGGACAAGTTTCTGAAAGGGCAATTGCCTTTTAGCAGTAAACGGTGACAAATAATTCATTTCCGTTGCACCGTATAAATTGAATCGTTTAAGGGATTGTACAACTTGTACATTGATTTTAAAAAATCTAGGATCGTCTTCTCTTATATGGTGGTTAACGCGGTTTAGTTTTGCATAAAATTGCGAGAGAAGTTGGCAGACGTTACATGTGGTGCAGTAAAGTTCATAAGAGAGGGCCTGCATGCCCTTTTTCGCAAAGCCTTTTTAGTCTTCGTAATCCGTAGGCAGCCTCCCAAAATCAACGTAATTCGTAATCAGTATATTAGCTGTAACATGTAATTGTTCAGCTCTGAGAATCTAACGTAATTCGTAATCGGCGGCGAAATTTTTTCGTAATCACTACACACACACACACACCATGCAGGCCCTCATAAGACGTACATGTGCGCCTGTGGGGAGGGGGGCACATAATGACCACGTGGTGATGTGCATGTAACCACTGTAAAGGAAAACCCTTATGGTTAGGCTAATCTAACAGCATATTATAAATGTTCCGTCAACCCCGCTACAGACACGATAACCGCGTTTCACCCTACCGTTAGCCTCCGTAGCAGGCTTATAGCTTATAGAACTGGGGGTTTGATGGTTTTCGGCTGTTTTCTGATTAGCCTAGTTCTAAACAAACGGGGGTAATTCAACCAGGCAGGCTATGTGTTGTCTACATGCAATCAGAAAATAGCACATAAAAGCTCCAAAAGACCCCCAAAACCCCCCAGTTTTTGGCATGCTATGGAGGCTACCCTACCGTGTGTTTGGTAGCGTTGTCTCCTCCCTTTGCCAGCAGAGACCTGGGATCTTCCTTCGACTCCAACTCATAAGAGGCCATATTCACACAGATCAATCGTACAAATGGACGGTTTAACTTGCCAAGCAACTTTTAACAATACGAACTAACGAAGCTTCAATTATCACATTGCGATTTCATGTGTCACACCCCGCCAGCGGTTTGAGGGAATGTTATCTCTAGTGGCAATCTTTGCCAAAATCTTCCTCGTCTATCCAAAATAAGGAAGAATTCTTTTAGTCTGAGATGGTGGCTTTTGACATCAACGTTGCTAATTGTGTGCATTTTATTTGGTTAATCATTCCATTAATATCTCTAATTTAATACGCTCTGACAGCGACACGCGCACACGATTGACAGAATCTTAACAATGGTAGCCAAATTTTTTTCTTTATCGCCATAGGGGCTCAATGTGATGTCAACCTTACGGCTTTAATATCTGAGACACTACATAGCTTGAATGCTATATTCAACGTTATTATGAGAAGAAAAAGAATAAGCTATGGACATCGTGGTCTAAGTTAACAATTTTCATTAAAGTCCTTAAAGTCCTTGATATGAGCGAGGAGCTTATCTGACAAATCTTGGCCGATCCCGTCTAGTGAAAAGGGCTGTCACTCTATACATGGCCTGGAGGTGATAAGTTATCATATGTATAAAGTATTAAGGGCAAGACTTTCAGACATGTACATTCAAACTTTCTTCCATAGCTTGTCTGTTAATACCGGTAAACTGAGATTCTATAGAAAATGTAAAACTGAATACTGTCTAGAACAATACCTAGAACACTGTGACTTCGAGCAGCGCTCCGCTATTAGTAAAATTAGAATCAGTGCCCACCCCCTGGAAATCGAAAAAGGGCGATATATGAGACTGCCTGTGTCGGAGAGAATTTGTAAATATTGCTCCTCAAATGCAGTGGAAGACGAAATTCATTTCATCTCTAACTGTCCATTTTATGACGACATCAGAAAACAATTATTTAGCACCGTGTCCAAAATACTCCCTTACTTCCCCACTGTTCCCTACCACAAAAAAAACATTTTTACTACTAAAATCAAAGAACCCACATATTATAGAAGAAGTGGGTAAATTTGTCTTCCACTGCCTAAAAAGAAGAAGTCAAACCCAGTAAATCTAGTACCATGCATGTTGTAGAATATAGTATAATGCTAGACGTAGATATAGTCTCACATACCACTGTATTTTCTTTCTTATGCTGTTTGTAACTGCAATTAGCCCTCGGGCAAGTATTTGCAATAAACTTTCATTATTGTTATTTTCGGGAACTGAATCTTTATCATCGAACGAAGACTTTAGATACAACCATGGAGCTATAATTAAGGGTTAATGTCCCGCCCCGAGGTGAATATGGAGTGATAAAGCCTTGTCAGTTGCTATAACCACCGAATAAAGCCACCAAGTGAGCGCAGCGAACGAGGTGGCTTTATGAGGTGGTTATAGCAACTGACAAGGCTTTATCACACCATATTCACCGAGAAAGGGCGGGCCATTAACGCTATTATCATATAGCTTACACGATAGCCTATCCAAACTGATGCATTGAAGAGTGACATACACAATGTACAATTTACCCCTTGGACATGCTGAATAGAACATAGAATATTTGTTCCATCTGGAGTCACCTGAGGTCACTGGGAGGGTTCACGTTCTATGGCCTTCTATCTGGGTCACAGGCAGGGAACAGGTGTTCTTATGGGAGTCACCTGAGGATTTTTTAGAAGTAGAGCTGTGTTCTATTGGGTCACCTGAGGTCATATGCGGGTGATTATTCATTTTGTTTAATGTATGGATTGGGATGAATAAATACCCGATTTTGACTCTATTTGTGACATTACGGCGACATAAAGAATGTGGAATGGAGCCTTCTGATTGGTCAACGTCACCCGGCTATATGATAATACACATTATTATTATTATTATAGCTCCATGATACATCTAATTTACTGCTGGCCCGCAGTTCAGTATTGTGATGACTACCTCCGTGTGATAGAAAGTTGAAACCATGTAACTCAAGACAAAAACACTTTTTTGGTCTAGTAATCCATTTGTTTACCGACAAAGTAATGAACAGCTGTCTTTTCTTGCAGCTGAGCTGACGCGAAATTCCTACCGGAAAGGCATGTGAATCTGTATACAATGTGCAGCAGAATGTGACTGAACAATGACGAGGGTCTACATGCCCTTTTCTGTGAGGCGTAGTGAGCTTTATGTCCTACCCGGGCCGCGATTACGTTCGATACGGGTGTTCCGGCCCGTGTGATAACTAGCGGTACGGCCCGGGAGTTCTTAATGCGTACGGCCCGGGGCTTCCAAATGTTCCATAGAACGATTTGAACGCGTTTTGCCCTAACCGCTTGCACCGTTTCCGAAAATTCGAACACAAAATTCGGACGTTGGAATTGATGTTGGTGCATTTGTTGGCCCATTTGTTTTGGGTTTAGGGACACCAAAATGTTCGCCCATCTCGCATTAATAGGCGCGTTTTATTAATTGGGTGGGTATGACATAAATAAAATACAACACGGTGTATTCCGCATCACCCTCGGTCCCAGCCCTCCCGCGGATCGGATCTCCCTCCGGCCTTCGGCCGTCGGGCGATCCGACGCGCGGTCGGGCTGGTACCTCGGACGATACGGAATACACCGTGTTGTATTCTATATATATCACTGTTAATAATCGTAGCCGGCCCTCTCTAATTCGATGTGAAACTTTATTAAAATCATTCGTGTGAAGCGTAATTGGTCGCTTTTTCGTTGTTTCTCATCATGAACTCATATTGTTAAGTATTAATGACATTCATGCATTCATTCATTAATTCATTGACAAATAGTCGAACGTGAGCTGTCATAAGTGCACATTCAGTCAGTGTCAGCCGAGATTATGAAATAAAGTATCATGCGTGATCTTCACAACGTGCAGTAACTCCTTTTTTTTGCTTCATTACTTCATTGTCATTAGGTAGTGGATATAAAAAGTTACTGACACGCATATCCTATCGTCGTGTATTACCTTTAGGCAATGCCAGGAGCCCCCATGCAGGCCCTCTATTGTGAGTCAGAGAGTTACTGCGAGTACTGTCTAGTGGCCTTCAAGTTTACGCGGTGGTCTGATGGCAATGACGTCTTATAGAAACATTTCTAAGGAAGAATCACGTCTTGTAACAGACAGAGACGACAAGAAGAAAAAGGTAATGTTACTCTAATGTATCTAATCATTCTATTGGTATCTGTGGCATTGACAGAAGGCCTTACAACAATACGGTATGCACCCCTCCCCCAGTGTTCACAATTTATTGACATTACATGTGTATAATTAAGCGAGGACCAGTCAAATGTCCACTGGTGACCACAGTTGGCAACATTGTCGTATCTGTAACCTAATATACTGTATCAGCAGCATGCTGCCATGCAGTGATATGCACAACTAAACAAGCGTCGTACCAGTACTTGATTTTGACATAATGTCTGTCACCTCTATCCCCTCACATACCTGGCTACATTCCCTGGCAGAGGGCACTGCCGTGTGTTTACATGGAAGTTGTTGTTTATACTTCATAACTACTAGTACTAGTTATTTGTGTATAACATGTACTGGGGCATTCAGCCACGTGCTTCTACTTCCGATTGACAACTTAAAAAGCTGACAAAACACTTGTCCCGCTTGTCATTTTTAATCGGCCCGATCCTATTGTACTTATTTTGGCCGGAAGCAAGTCACTCGCTACCGCTAAGTGATATGCAGTTCCTAGAAAAACTACACGTTTCCGCTTCGTCGATGTCAAACCACAATGACACCTAAATTAAACCAAGCTTCATATTCTCATAGCCTCCATAACATGCCAAACACTGGGGGTCTTCAGGGTCTTTGGGAGCTTTTACGTGCTATTTTCTGATTGCATATAGACAACATAGTCGGCCTGGTTGAATTACCCCCGTTTAGAACTGGGCTAATCAGAAAACAGCCGAAGACCACCAACCCTCTAGTTCTATAAGCCTGCTACGGAGGCTAATATACTCCAACATAACATAACACAGCAACACTTAAAATTAAAGTCAGTGTCCTTCAGAAGAAGAATAGCTCGTTCGACGAGTCAGTGTACTCTGAAGGACATTTTCGGCACTAGTGTGGCGGGTGTCCTCTCGAACACTGTGCGATTTTAGGGCCCAGAGTCCTTCACTTTGTACAGGAAAATACGAAAACACGTTAATATACGTAGAAAATACGTTAAATTGGACCGGATTATTGCAGAAATAATCACCTTGTACTATCCAAGAACACCCATAGATTAGACGAAGGGCGCGCGTTCGATTTGGGGGAGGGCGACATAAGGACACCGACGTTCTTAAAACATCCATTTAATATATATTAAATGGATGTTTTGGACGTGGCATTGCAATTCATGGATCTACAGTTAAGTATGTCTGAGGCACAAGCTTTGTACTGCAATGAGATGTTGGCTTTAAAGTACAAAGTGACAGGGTGTGTTTTTAGGTGGCAGTGAATGCGCCCGGCCCTCTGGCGATTTTGAAAGTCGGTGACTTCTGTTGATCGCAAAACTCGTCCAAAGGCGGTTAAGATAAACAGATAACCTTTATTGTACATTCATGCCCTATCGGGTATATGGAAACAGATGCAAAGGTACAAACAGGACTACTTGACAACATTACCTCTAAAACTACTCTAATACAGAGGGCATAAGAAAAGGGAATTTTTCAACATTAGTCAAGGAATGGAAGTATGGAGACGTTCTTGTAATATATTAAAAAGATTACTTCTATCAGTGAGACTCGCTCGCTATGTGACGTGTCAGAGATGAGTCATGGCCCCCCGAGGACATGTAAAACACATGACTGTGACCACGCCTCGTTTCACTGTTGAATGCATTTTACGATAGCAAGAAAAATAAATATGAATTGAATCAATAATGATTTAAAAATCCGAGTGTCCGAACTACGTGTAGGCACCACGATGTCATTGCTTAAAGTTGTATTGTCAAAGACCACGGGTGAATTACCAATAATTTACTCGTCTAAAGTTGTATTTAAGTATATGTGTAATTTGTATACTTCTTTCATTCATTATACACGCCGAAGTATCGTATTTATGGGAGGGGGGCAATCCTTCATGTGTTCTTAAAACAGCTTGATTGTTACATACGAGTGTGGGGAAGACTCCCTTGATGTGAAACCTGTTTTATCTTAGTTCTGCACGCGCATTGTCTATCGGGACAGTGGAAAATTTTGGCCTTGGGACGAACGAAAACACCTACTATTATCTTAATCCATTCAGTTGGTAAACACGATGTGAGCATGGCGTCCCACGAGCGCGATTCTAAGAGTGTAGAAGAGGGTGTTTTGCTGGGCAACGACAATTTCAGCGGCCCTAAAGAATCGGTAGGTGTACAGGTGACCACTAGCCTCCATAGCATGCCAAAAACTGGGGGTTTTGGGGGGGTCTTCAGGGTCTTTGGGAGCTTTTATGTGCTATTTTTTGATTGCATATAGACAACATATATATTCGTCCTAGTTGAATTACTCCCGTTTTTAGAACTGGGCTTATCAGAAAACAGCCGAAGACCAGCAAACCCCCAGTTCTATAAGCCTGCTACGGAGGCTAGGTAACCACAGTATTTGTTTATGGTAACAAAATAGAATGATAAGACGATTGTTTTCGCGCGCTTTTGAGCCCTGACGTATTAGGTTTCATCTCGTGATCATCGACCTATTTTTGTCTACTTCTTACTTCGCCCTTTTAAATTGTGAATATCTTAAGACATATACAGTTCCTTAGCTCAAAGGTTGTCACTGCAGCTGTATGATTCAAGAGTATACTCTCCACATTCACCTTCAACTTATGAGTATACCAGTAGTACTAGCTAGATAAATCCTTTGAAAGACGTTTTACCTCAGGCTACAAAGACAGCATGTTCACAACAGAGAGCGTTTCACTCGGTTGAAATGATTTAGAGATAGTTTTCTTTTTTCACGAGATTGTTTTTTTCATATCAGCCAGACAGTCTAAAGTTCAATTGTACCGGATTGATCAAAATTGATTGACAGGAATAATGATCTTGTAGTATCCAAGAACACCCATAAATTAGACGAATGCGTTTGGGGGAGGGGGGCACAACACACCCACATTCTTGAGTGATTTGGACATTGCATTCACTGCACTTTATGGATCTAAAGTAAAGCCTTTTTGAGGCACAGGCTTAGTTTATCTTGCTAGGAGATGTGGGCTTTAAAGTAAACTAAGTAGCTGGTGAATAGCTCGGTGGCTACAACGTTAGTCCTTTTCTTGTCTCATTTATAGATGATTGGTACGTTAATCGTTTTTACCCTTCGGGGGAAAGCCCATCAAGGAATGTCTACTGATTTTTTACTTATTGAAATTCTTGTGCATAGAAATAAAAACACAAGAGTTTACACGCACCGGCAATGGAAAGGCATACGATTCATTGAAGTAATAGTGCATCGCTACGTTCTACGACACTTCTAAGGAAAATATACCCAAGTGATGCCCACGGTCTTCGATAACCCTTTGTGCCAGCTGATACAAACATTTCCACAAGAAAATTTATCCTACATTGAGGAAATAGAGAAATTTCTTAGGAAAATAAAACTTGCACTAAGCGATTGGATCGAGGGCAATATCATTAATTCGACGGAATATTTGTCTTTGTTAAGGCCACACCGATTTAATTTTATGGATGACATCCTCTGAAGACCCCCAAACTAGTGCGCGCGGGCGAATAAAAAAAAATTCCGGCCAAAAATAAAAATGGTACTAAACCACAGGAATACAAAGCTGGTATTGTGAATTTGCGACAGGACTTAGCGACGTATACGACAAGCTGGCACATGCTGGCTTTTTGCGGCATTTATGAATCGGTACTGTACTTATGTACTGAGCTCTTGAGTCGTGGAGCTTCGAATTCGATAGCCTGGGTGCTCGGCTCCGTTTTGTCGCTGACTACCATGGACTACCCAGGCCTAAGAGCTAGGCCAGAGCCTCGGTGAGGTGATCTCTTTTTTTTTTTTTTGAGGGTGACAGGCGAAAATCAATGCGCGCGCGGATGTCATCCATAAAATTAAGTCGGTGTGGCCTAACATGCACTAGCTTCATGGCACGTCCTTGTTCACAGTATAGTCAGTGATACTACCTAGTAACATGCACAGAGTCTACAACATACTAATACTAAGTGTAAACAAGAAGAGTCAGAACATCTTAAAATGTATGCTACATTCCCAACATCAGACTATTTCCGCGACTAGAGAACAAAAGGAAGGTCTTGTTCGCGTGCCCTGAGGACGGCACTCTGAGACCCAGTTCCGGGGACGGCGTTCATGTTGTTGTAAAAGCGGTGACACCTGGTACCTGGTCTGACGGCCATGCATGTGGGTGATACATGCAGTTGTTAGTCTCCACCAGACTCCTTTGCAGGCATAATAAATAGTAGAAATCGGCTAAGGGGGACAACA